GCTTTGTATAATGATAACTAAATATTAAATAAATAATACTTCTCACTATTCTGCACCAATTTAAATGGCCAAATATAAACTCCTATACTAATAACCTTTTAAAATTTTTACCTGAAAATCAAAGATCTGTAATCTGTCATCTCCTACATAGACATTTTTCCCTTTAAAAAATATGGTAATATTACTTAAATTCATGATTGTGAAGTTGAAAAGCTCAAAAAACTCAAAATTATCATAGCTTTGAAATATTGAAGATTGCTCTGTATTTGATTTGTTAGAAAATACGCCATCTGATGATAAAGTCCAACAATATGCGACTATATTTATCTGAAAATTATATTTTTTCGTTTTCATTATTTCTTTTAAAATTGTGGTCGTCTAATGATACTATACTAATGCATGTGAATCATTTCATTCAAGATTTAATAACACAATAGTCATAATCATTTAAGTTTAAAACAAAAATCTAATTTATTTATTTTTGTGGCATACTTTGGAGATAAACTCTAAACGTGAAATCTCTCCTCGTACATACTTAATTTTTTTGATCAAGTATAAATTGATATTAACATTTGTATTATATTTTTCAAACATTTTTTATTTTATGTGTTAATATATTGCAAGACTGATATTTTTTATAGCAATACAGAGTGGTATTAATTTTTTGTAGGAGTTAACACTATCTTCTGTAGGAGATTACACTAAATTTGTAGGAGTTTACCATTCCCCATTTAAACACCCTCCACACGTTGCGTAACAAGTGTCGGGACAGTGATTTTTTTGTACATATTCGTTAAAACTGTGTTCGTTAGTAGGGTGATTATATTGTTATAACTCAAAACAACACGACGAGTGTGTTGATGAAAATGCGTCTTATGCCATTGTTTTCTGTCGCGTGTTTTTCTCTTATACGGCAGTTATGTAATAATTTTCATGGTTTGCTAGTTAAGAAATCAAGAAGAGTATTAAGCCATAGGCAAAGAGAAAATCGGTATCAAAAATTGTCTGCCCGAATACACCCACATATATACAATAAGTGTATATATATTATATATATGTATACACTTATGTCATCGAAACTCCAATTAATGTTACATAACTATTTTATATTTTGTATAGTGTAGCGTTTTATTGTCCGCCTTTGCAACGTGGAGCTATATAATTTGTGCGTGTGTGTGTGTTTCTAGTTACCTACTAGTCAGTGTAATTTTGTATTATTAGGTAGTTAGGTTAGGTATCCGTATACGTGTTATATATAAAGTTCCGTATGAACATATAAAACCAAATTATATATCGAACGGATAACATTATATAATATTATCTGTATTTGTAAGTCTGTATGTCTGTAATATGTCTGTGTAATGTTATAAATGCCTAGTGTAGACATTGAGGGGAATGGCTTTTATCGATTTTTTTATATTGTATAAATTTAAAGAGTCGAAATACGACACGTATAACATATATATATTAAAGATCCTGAACACTAGATAGGAATTTGAATATTTGTCAAAGTATATCTGATCTGACTGTATGGATATATAGGTAAAAAGGTATATGTGTAATAACGTAGGTTTACGCACAAGAGACAAGATACCTACTATATTTCAGACTCAATTCGTTCGACGCGTCTCTGAATGATACACAAATTTATCTGGAAACTCTCATTTCAAATGCGCACTAGTGGCGTACGCTAATATTTAACGTATGTGCCTAATATAACCCTATCCATAACTATTATCTGAAGTTTGAGTTTTGAGTATAATATTATGTACGATTTACACTGTCTAGTTGGCCTAGATTATTTCAACTATACGTATAGCATTTTGGAAGTTTCACTACAACTAATAAAACTTCGATTTTGGGTTTCAAACATATTTTGTATAAAGTATCCGTTAAGCTGTAAAAATCATAAAATACATCGCATGTATGATAGGTATGTATATCTTGTATTTTTAGTTTTTACATAATTTAAAATCTATCCTTGAAGATGAAAATAATATAATAAAGAATTATATAATTGTAATAGATTAAARATAACAACCATTAWAACATTAAAATTTTGAGAATTGCATTACGTTTGTTATAACTTATAACCGTATAAATATTTTACACTAGAAAATTATATGTGTATAAAATATAATATTATACAATTAAATATTTTGTCTACCGATAAAATAGGTACTATATATAAATATAATAATAATACAATAATACAACAGCGGTCAGTGATTAAACTCGATGACCGTTTAGGTTTGAATAATTTCTCTGTGTAGGGCGTTATTATTATTATTTTTTACCTGTATTGTAAACGGGCGGCAGAGTCGAGAACCGACTGAAAGCGGAAAATCCTTGTTGTAGAACGGAAACTTGCGACCTGTATGCGGCCAACGTGTTGAATACACCTTCCACCAAGCAAACTTCCTATTTCACACATAATACACACACAAATCAATCAATGTTAACGTAAAACGACCTGCGTATAATGGAGGCAACATTGGCTAGTTATCCGGAAACCATATTATTTTAGCATTTTATTAAACGCATAATATACCTTTTTTTTCCGTTCAAAAAACCAGGAACGGGTGGGAAATGTTTAGCACAATACTGCCACCMCAAAACGCGTATAATATACCTAATATTATTCTTAAGATACACATAATCAGGTGCGTCATTGCGAGTTGATAGTATTGATGAGTTATAATATAATACACAGCGTTTATAGTACATACTCATMTTTAATATATATATATTATATATATTCAACGCATGTTATAGTAAATATATTATAAAAATTAAATAACTAATAAGTGTGTGTGTGTTGGTAATAAGGATGGGAAAAAAATAAATACTCGGTTGTTTATCGTACATATTAGCAACTTTTTATATGTATATTGCACTGACAGAAAAAAAAACTTTAATAAAATACACAAAAAGCTAAATCTTATAATGTTTTTAGCACCTAATAATATAAATAATCGATGTTCTCACTTGTCTCGGTATCACATTTACTAAAAATTATTTCTTATACGCTACTCGGGGCCCACATCATCATAATCGTCTTACGTTATTTAAAAATAAATCTTCATTACATAATACAAAATACTGCCTAACTTATGCATAAACGTTTTACACTGGGTCACARCGTTATAATAATTGGGTAACATTATAAAAAACATGGTTGTGCTGTAAGATTAAAAAAAAAAWAAATAAATAGTGTGCACAAGTGCTTGTGAAAATGAAAAATGGTTTTAGTGACAAATATAAATGCTTAAACGTATTAAAAGATCTTTCAAAAATTAAAAAACTTAATTGRTTTAACAACAAAAAGACACTTAATAAACGCGGGAGATTTTTTAAGACTCTCTTTCGTGTTTGTAAACTTCGTAATTTTTTAAATACTACAACACTACATGTCTTAAGATTTTACCCGCAACATATAAAACTATAATAATTATATATGCTACCTATTGTTAAGTTAAATTGCCGACTTTTATCGTGCATTATACCTAAAAAGTATAYATGAATTGAGCATTACATGACTTGGTTATATAGTAATTTAATGTTTTTCCTTTAAGTAGAAGTTCTGAGCTTATATTATTATGTTTAGATACTAACTTTATAAAATGYAGTGATAAGAATTAGAGCGCTGTTTGGTTTAGGAACGCATAATGACAAAGATTACAAAGCATCAAGAGGACGTCTTTCAAATCCCCTGTTTACATATTTTATAACAAATCTTTTAAATACCATACAATATGTAGCCTATCACAGTCGGAACACCTTAATCCTAACCCACGGTAATCGCAGACGACCATGGCCTAACCTAAAATTAAGCCCATATGGCCATATATATATCGTTTAAAAATACCACTGCTCAGTTCGAGTTCAGGTCATATGTTACGTTCGTTTTGGTCCACCAACAAACTGAATAGAATTAAATCATGAAACATAAATGTTTGAGATAATTTCTTCACAAAGTGACATTTTTATTTTGTACCATAACAATAAATATAAAATTGTATAATATTTATTTTTAGTAACGTTGCTGTTAACTAAAAATTATGAAATTAAATTTTATGAGACGGATTTGATACATCCTTATTGACAAGTTTTTCATAAATTTTAAAGAAAAATATTTTAATCATATAAAATCTAAGTTAGTTGGTACTTGGTATTGTTATGTACAAATAACTGTAATGTAATAAAACACTTAACATTAACCTAATTCCTAATAATTTTAATTATGGTGTAGCCGAGTAGATATACCTATATTATATTATTCTTTTTTATTAATATCATTATTTAAAAACATAAAATCTATTATTTGATACTATACTTTTTGAACAAATTAATAAATTCCACTACTAAGTAGGTACAGTAGAAATAATATATTTAAAAAGAATTAATCTTATTCAATAATATAATACAATATATTATTCTAATCAACTATCAAAAAAATATCACATTCTTGTTTCTTCACATCTCGCTATTTTCATTCTGGTAWAGAATTCGACATTACGTACATTTTTGTTATTCTACTTTAAAAATTTAACTATATATAATAATAATTTTACGAAAATGAGATAATTTGATCACACGTGTTATATAGATTTTAACAAACAAATAATAAATAAAAAGCTTAAATTTTTTACATTAAATTTTACAATTGAGTGCCAATAATTAACAATACACGGCGACATGACTGGTTAAACGTTTATAATATTRTACTATAATATAAATTAGGTAGTGAATACTTTTCGAAAATATAATATTTTGATCTTTACACAAGCTCTTATCTGCACACGTGTATTTTGGAAAGTATGTAAATATTTATGAGGTTAATATTTGCAATGAGCTTAAATTATGAATATGATGAGTTTATAACGTTGAAGTGAATATTTATAATATTCTGAGCATCATTTAAATGTTTCAATATAGACGAACAAATTAAAATAAATTCGATGAAAAATAATTTCAAAATTTAAACATTAATCTGAGAATTAAATAAAAATTTAGTTTATATTTATTAAATACGTATAATTAAATACTGGTTAGTGGATGGTAACTAAAATAAACCAAATGAGAGTTAAGTTTTTTGGTTTATTCACTAAACAATGAAATAAAATTAAAATAACAATGTTTTAACGGCATATTTTATTATCATTAGTGGACCTACTTAGTAATACTCGTATTATTATGAAACAGATTGGAAGTTGAAATGTCAGTCATTACTTTTGAATGTATATTAATAAGCTGCACTGGTCCATGTTAACGCCTACCTCTGTTATTAAAATTAGATGTTGTTTAATTATTCATATAAATATATAAATTCTATTATATACATGCATATCACAGAAAATTAAATCTACTGACTTTTGAATAGGTGCTAGAGCGTTATAATAATGATGAGCGAAATAAAGTATGTTAAAAAATGTACTCTGGATTTTTAAACACTTAACCAATTATACACACCGTTAATTATTGTTACTAATGTTAGAACTACTCAAGGGGTCCATCTGAATGTAAAGTTTTCAAATGTAATTAGCTTGAACGTAAAAAAGGAGTATTTTTCAAGGGAGTATTAAAATAATTATAATTTACGGATGAATAAAATGTTTTTCCTCGTGTCGGCAGAATAATAAATTATGCGTCCAACTCTTTTAAACTTCTGTAATTCTATGTGAAAAGAGAACATCTGGCTTGTGTTTGAAAACGTTTCAATACAAATCAAATGTATTTTAAAAACGGTGATTATTGTTTGTTGTTGTTAATTTTTTAATTGAGAACTTTATAACGATCTGGTATTACTCATGGCATTGGAGGAGGAYGGCATGTACAAGCTATGTACCTACCGGTGCATTCAGTCGTCCGTTCGGAATCTATAACAACAACGTTCATGGGCTGTTTAATATTGTAGCTAAATACATTAAAGATAAGAACATCCAAAACATAAATTATTAGTCTAATATACCGTGAAGAYCATGTGTATATTTTGTCGTAATTTATGTTTGAAAATGTAGATAATAAATCGAATCTAGAGTCAATGACTGGGATAGGAAAATTCACCAATACGCATACCTAATTACGACGGATGCTGAACGAAACAAAAAGTATGAACAATTGTTTCGATAAGCTATTTTATTCATCCATATGTGTCCGATTTAAGTAAAAGTGCAAAACAGCTAGRGTACTAGGCTTTGGAGCAAAATATATTTCACGGCGTATTACATTAATATTCCGTCAGTTTTGAACAGTGCGCATATCGTATTACTATTATAGTTTTTATCACCTGTATCCACTGGACGATCTGTTGACCGAGGCCAATTTTGCTAACTCGTGTACCGTCGACGGAACGCTAGACGATGACAAGGGCACGCCGCTATATGATATGAAAGACATGGATGAATCGTGCGCGGCGCGTACAGGTATTGATTCTAACCTAAAATATTTGAACAGTTTTCGCGTACGATCCTAACCTTCGGAGATGGGGTGTGTGGGGCGGATGATTGGGAGGGGAAGGTGAAGCAGTTAAACGTTCCGGTGATCGTTTTTGTATTTCGTCACGCAACAAACCGTGTAAGAAAACACTAACGACGAAACACGTCTCGCGTATACCTACSAAATAAATAATACATACGTACATAGGAACCATCGTGGACGAGGACGAAAGTAAACGTCCACCAGAGTGATTTCAACTGTTGATTTCAATCAAAATCTTTCAAGATTTAATTCAGACGGTAATTTCTAAAATGTAGGAAGTTTTTTTCACGTTCAAAAAAATCACCTACGAAAACCATCAATCGTGGTGGTGTGGTGTGTGTTTTCAGTTTATCTGATATAGCGAATAATACAATGTAATAATAAGTTATAACTATATAATAATAATAATAATAATAATAATATATGACGGATATTACAATGTAACAAAATATATGGTAGTATATCGTATATGACTGAGCGCGTAGAGGACGGTCCCTGGGTGACCCTATTTCCACTACACTCTATAAGGAAACAATCGTCGTCATGGTGGCGTGGGCGGAGGCGGTGGCGGGGCTGGCGGTGACCCGCTGCCATGCCTGTGGTGATGATGATGCTGGATGACGGTCAAGTCGAATGGTCTAACGGCGGCRGACGCGATCGTCGCAACCGCCTGCGCCATTCCGCCTCCGAAATTCCCCAACCCACCTCCTACTAACATTCCTCCTCCTCCACCTCCAACTCCTCCGGGTTCCTCTTCGGGACTGGGTGACGACACGAACCGGTGGCGTCCCGTGAACTTTGGATAATGCGTCTTCTCGTGCGCTTTAAGTATTGTCGACCGGCTGAACGTCTTGCCGCATAGCGCGCATCGGAATGGCCGTTCACCGGTATGCACGCGACAGTGATCTTTCATGTGGTGACGTAGTTTGAACGCTTTGCCGCAGAACTCGCACTTGAACGGCCGGTCACCGGTGTGCGCGGGCAGGTGGCCGACTAGAGTGGCCACGTCCGGGAACGTTTTGCCGCAAAACTTGCAAAGTGTACCGCCCACTCCGTCGTCCATCGCGGCCGCACCCGCAATACCACAAGCTTGCTGCAACGACGCGGTGGACGACGAAGACGCGGATAACAGTGATAGTGCTGCCGACGACGATAGCGGTGGTGGCACGGTCAAGCCGCCGCCGCCACCGGGGTCCGTAAACGATGTRCCGCTGTGCTGGTTGTCCAGGCTGTGCGACAGTATGTGCCGCGTCAGTTTACTCTGGTGCGGGAACGTTAGATTGCAGTACAGGCACGTGTAAAACCGCGGCGGTATTGCGGCTTTGTCGGTCGTCGGCATCATCATCGTTGTCGTTGTCGTCGTAGGCGTCGTCGTCGTCGTCCTGCTGTCGCGCTCCTGTAACCGAAACGAAAAAAACAAAAAAAAAAATAACTCTCATCAACTTCTTTTCGCTGGTCAATTTCGTGTTTAGTATAATTGTTTGCGTAAATGGGTGTATGGAAAAAAACCGAGGAGAAAAAAGATTTTWAAAAAAAAAAAACAAAAAAAAAATTGTAATATTATTGATATATACTGTCAAGTAAATAATACTCATGGAGGACAAAATAATAGTGTCAGCACAAGAAGTTGACGTTGTTTTTTTTTTTTGTTGTTTTTGTTTTGGCTACAGGTGCGGCCAGACCATATATATACAAATATATAGGTGTATGTAAAATATAATATAATATTTTACGATCGAAAACTCCAATCCGCGCACACCGCTCGTTTAAGAAAACGCGCAATATAATATTTAAGTGTACTATAATATTATAAATACACGAGTACAAAACGCATTTTTTTTTAGATTTATGATCACACGGGTTAACGATTATAATTTTCGTACCGAACATTGGTAGAGCAGCGGTATTATGCAAATGCGAAATTTATATGAAGTAATAGTTTCTGGTTTGGTGAGTTTTTCGCAGTTACATTTTGACAATCGCCATCACTGCGCGTTGATRGCATTTTTTGGTCGATTCGTCTCTGCGTAGATATAAYAATAATGGGTGGTACGGCACAACTGGGGTTGGTAATGGTCCTTGACCCCCGCAGTTTATAATTTAGATTCCCATTATCTTGTTTGACCAATGGTTACGAGGAGAATTGTTTCTTACTACTTGTTGAGGTCCAATTAAGACCATCTTAACTAATATAAAGTTTTTTTAACCCACGTTTTTATTAGGAATTGACATCTTATTGTTATGTACCATTATAACACTCGAAGAATAGTGAAGATAATAAAAACACACAATTTTGATTTAGGCTGTAAATTTTCTTTGAATTCTAACGCTATAGTTGCGACTGTTATATCTAGGTACATATTGTATTTTATTTAAAACAAATAACCTTGGGCGTTTATCATTATTATCGGCTAAATTTAACCAATTTAAAATTAAAATAACAAAAAAGTATCCATGAATAAACGTTCAAATAGTAGATGCTTGGTATAGAATTTCGTCGACTTATAATTATGAAATTGCTAGTTTTTCAACAATGTTATGAGTTAGGATTAAGTGATATGTAAATATTAAAACTCTAATAATAATGTTTTCATGAAATTATTTAGTATATTTTAAAAATAGATTTTAATCCATAGATTAAGAGGAGTTCATATACACACAATTTAAGACACAACTACAAGTTTATAAAAGTTAAATATAACAGATAATTTTTCATTTAGTTGTTACAAATAATTTTCTTTAAGTGTATCAGATTAGTGATTTATGATCAGTATCGAAGTTGAAGAAATCAAATATAGTGAAAAAAATGTCCACATTGAAGGTAGGTTTTAATATCTTAAGAGTTACCTTACTCAATTAGGCAACGAAGTAGAACATTAAAACTTATCAAAATGAGTGAATTCAAAATTTAAATTTTATGGGCGTTCATGCGTTCATAAGAYATAATCACCACAATAATAAAATGAATTAAAATTATTATAGGTTTATCAACAATCATTTATGGTGGTTTAAAAAAAAAATTAAGTTTTTACAACGCATACCGATTATAGTCCATATTATTATTAAATAGATTTTATAACATCATAAAAACGTGGAAATTGCAGAGTGCAGCAATCCAGCTCTGAAATTGTCACCACTTTGTGATTAATACAGAAATTAAACAGCACACAACATTTATCGCTTACAGTTCCTATGAAAGTCATAGAATTTGGAGAGTAAATCAAGTGAACCTATATGTATTAAATAATATTTAAATGTTTTGAAGTCAACTTCTTGAGACTGCACTTAGTTTGTTTAAAAGCATTTAAATGTATTTTAGCCGCATAAGATCAGCAAATGGCAAAATAATGGCAAAATAATTGTAAAATTTGCTCTAGTTTTTATTCTCTAAATTACGTTCAGTCTCGTTAAAAAAATGAACATTATATCATTTTCTACTCCGATTTAGATTCATACTATACATATAATTAATATATTTAATAACATCGGGAATGGGTGCATTCAAAGAAATACATAGACAATATTTTATGCTTACCGGATCTGGTATACTCCGATATTCTGAAGAGCTTTCCCCTTGAATGCTTCGGTCATCAGTCTTGTCACAGTCAGCTTCTTTTTTCAAGAACTATACAATATAATATTGGTTTTAGTTAAACCGTAATTCGTTAAAAATGAGTTAATTAAAAAAATTTTATATTTGAACTGATTTCGTAGGTATATCATTATATTGAGTACAGGTGCTATTCAATCAATCCATAGGGTGTAAGATTCTCATTTAGTAATATAATAATAATAATAAAATCTGCAGGAATGTGATGATTTAAGAAAATCTACCTGTAGATAATAAACGATTTCTTCAATGTAGAAGAAGGGATTGAAACAGTAAGTTATTTGGTACAAATATCAAGAAATTAATATAGTTCTATAAAAATTGTGAATACTATACCACTATATTACGTAATACGTATATCTTAATTCTACGAAGTACAAGTATTTCTTAGTGTTGAAAACGATTTTTATACATTTTCTTGGTGATTTACTACTGAACAGCTTCTCCAATCCAATTGTCAAGTTAGAAAATCAAATATACCTACATATTTTATATTTATCATAGGTATTAAATTATAATAGAAATATATAAAATTCAAGTAAAAAATAACTGTATATTTTAATTAGTATTGTATACAATTTGAATTTTTTAAACAATTGTCTTTTTGAAAATATATTATACTCTAAATTATTTACCTATCGATACAACGTGTGGTTAACTTGATAACTTAATACAAAGTTTTTCATCAGTTATTGTTATTGGAAATTAAAAAGAAGATTGAGTGTAAATCCAGAGTAATTTTTCATGAGCGTAAGAAGTTAGAATTAACAAAAAAAAAAACTTACGTAAAAGTCAAATTAATTTTTGGGTGCTTGTAAATTGCGCCCACATTAAGCACGTAGTAAAAATATTATAGTAATTTGCGCCTTGGATTTTTCGGTTTCTAAAATAGGTATAGTAAATTACTACCATACATAGCAAAATGTTTAAGATTATATAAACTATGAATTAATACCTATGATTCCTGAAGATAATCAACTTATAAGATTGCTTGCTATATTTTAAACATGTATATTTTATTTGCTGATTTTCCTCCAAATATTTGGRCATMAACTTTCACAACATTAACACGGACAACTAATACCTGTGAATTTTTCCACAGTCATTTAAATAAAAACTTTTATACACCTCATCCTCATATTTATAATTTTATAGATGAAATATTAG